ACACACACACACACACACACACACACACACACACACACACACACACATTAGTATATGTACTCTACAGGAAACGAGAGGGAGAACTCACAGTGGGCAAGCCTGTGGTTGCCATGGAGATGTAGCCATGTGATCAGGGAGGCGGTCACCAGGGAGACGGATGCTGCTGACCTTTTTGAGACGGGGAGGGCCGTTAAAGAGAGAGGAGGAAAGAGGGCAGTGAGGATGTAATGACATATTTTGTCATTTTTGTTGTCCAGAACCATCGAGGAGGATGGAGAGAGAATTGTAGATTTTAACAAAATAAGACATCACACAGCAAAAGAGTTTTACTTTTAATCATCCATCCATCCATCCATTATCTTTACCCGCTTATTCCATTTTGGGTCACGGGGGTCGCTGGTGCCCATGTCCAGCAATCACTGTGCGAGGGGCGGGGTACACCCTGGACGGGTCGCAAGTCCATCACAGGGCCACATAGAGACAAACAACCATTCACTCTCTCACTCACACCTAGGGACAATTTAGAGTTACCAATCAGCCTAACATGCATGTTTTTGGACTGTGGGAGGAAACCGGAGTACCCGGAGAAAACCCACGCATGCACGGAGAGAACATGCAAACTCCACCCAGAAAGGCCCCTGGACCGGGGTTTGAACCAAGGACCTGCTCGCTGAGAGGCAGCAGCTCTACCAGTTGCGCCACCGTGCTGCCCTACTTTTAATCAGTGTTTTGTAAAAGATGTGTCAACAGTGAAACGTCATTATTACTTTTCAGCTGTTATTTTCTCGTTTTTGTCATGATTTTGAATTTGACACTCCTTCAGCAGAAAAATACATCAAAATGTGCTATTAGAGATAATGGGCTGTAACTCTTGGCAGCAGTACATCTTAAGATAAAATTAACTAAATAAACAAATAAACACTCTACCCAACAGTGGGATTTGGGGAAAATGCGTAAGAAAATGCAGCCCTCTTTGAAGCGCTACAGCTCAGACATTCTTTTCAGTAGAAACAGTCAAAGTTTCAATAGGTCGCAGAAAGTTAGATGTTACATCACTGACCTGGTATTTTCATGTCTTTTTTCAGTTTTTACACAATTATTGTTTAAGTTGTATAAGTTTTGGAGTCATACTGACCTTTCAGGTGTTTAAACTTTCAAACTTCTTTTTGCAAACAAGCTCTTTTTCCCCAAAACTTTGCTCTGCTTCTACAGTTTCTTCACTTTTTCCTCATTGTGTCTCTTTACAGCTATAGGACGTGTTTTTTTGTTTTCTCAACCCACCCTCCAAAGTGGGAAGTGCAAACATCCAAACTCTCACTGACTTTCAGTGTTTCTGAGCTCAGAATTCTCACTTTAAAAATGGACGTTAAAGGGTGGATTTACTAAATATTTGCATGTGCAAAAACGGGCATAAACTTGGTTGCGTGTGCGAACAGATTTGGAAGCTGATCTACTAACATGGCCTCAGATTTGGAGGTGCTGATTTTCATCCCAGCCGCTTCACACTCGGTTGTGAACCGCTTCAGTGAGAGCTGGAGATCATGGCAGGATGGCGTTAACAGGACCACATCATCTGCAAAGAGCAGAGATGGAATCCTGAAGCCACCGACCTGGAATCTCTCCACCTCCTGGCTGAACTGAGAAATTCTGACCATAAAAGTTATGAACAGAATCAGTGACAATGGGCAGCCCTGGCGGAGTCCAACTCCCACCCTGAAAGGGTCCGACTTACTGTCGGCAATGTGAACCAAACTCTTGCACTGATTGTATAGTGACTGAACAGCCCAAAGCGATCAAATACTCCGCCGAGCACCCCCCACAGTGTACCCTGAGACAAGTCCACAAAACACATGTAGACTGGATGGGCAAACTCCCATGACCCTAGTGAAGGTAAAGAGCTAATCTAGTGTTCCACGACCAAGACAGAATCCGCAATGTTCCTCCTGGATCTGAGGTTTGACCAACGATCAAATTCGCTTCTCCAGTACCCCTGAATAGACCTTACAGGGAGGCTAAGGAGAGTGAAATCCCTGTAATTGGAGCACACCCTTTGTTCCCCCTTTTTGATGAGCGGAACCACCAACCCAGTCTGCCAATCCAGTGGCACTGCCCCCGATGTCCACGTGATGTTGCAAAGGCGCGTCAACCAAGACAGCCCCACAACATTCAGAGCCTTAGGGCAGATCTCATCTCATTCACCCCCGGAGCCCTGTCGATGTGGAGTTTTTTAACTACCTTGGTGACCTCAGCCACGGTTATGGCCAGACCAGCCCCGAAGTCCCCCGACTCAGCTTCCTCCATGGAAGACGTGCTAGTGGTATTGAGAAGGTCCGAGAAGTATTCCTTCCACCTCCCGACGACATCACTGGTTAAGGTCAACAGCACTCCACCTTCACTGAACGCAGTGTTAGTAAAGTGCTGCTTTCCCCTCCTCAGCCACCAGATGGTTTGCCAGAATCTCTTCGGAGCCGACCAAGAGTCTATCCAAAGTGTCACCTATCTCCTCCCACATCCAAGCTTTTGCCTCAGCAACACCAAAGGGTGCGGACCGCTTAGCTCTCCTGTACTCATTTGCCTCTGGAGTTTCACCAGCCAACAAGGCCTGATAGAACTTCTTAAGCTTGACAGCCTCCCTAACATGGGGTGTCCACCACCGAATTCATGTATGGCCACCACAAGAATCATAGAAAATCTTGTGTCCACAGCTCAAGGCAGCCACCTCAACAAATGAGGCTCGGAACATGACCCACTCGGCCTCAATGTTCCCCGCCTCAGCTGGGATGCGGTTAAAGCTCTCCTGGAGATGTGAATTGAAGATCACATCATCTATATATATAGATATACATTACGTCATAGATATTGTCTATCCAGCAATGCAATTTTGGAGCTTCTGGATGATCTAAGGACTGACTAAGCCAGTCACAAGAAGGAGTCATTCCATTTCACCTATGACAAAACTCCTTTCAACACTACATTTCCTTGCATCTGGGTCATTTCTGCGCAAGACGACGTTGCTAACATTTCATCTTGAGCTATTGTTTCCTTTGTTCTTCTTTGAATGCCTTGCCATTTTTTTTCTCAACGTCACCTGGTGTTCTTCTTGTTTTACCCACAGCATTGACTTTCTCACAGATTGGATCACATATTGCATTTCTTTTGGTTATATTCATCAGATTCCTCTTCTGTAACTAGTAATATGTTTGTTTGCTTCTTATACTAACACCTCAAATTCCATCACTTCAAAACTTCATTTTGCGCTTGCGGTGCTCACCCAAATTTTTCATGGTGAAAACCAGTTGCGCGCAAAACCTTCATTTAAATAAGGCGGTCTCCACCACTTTTACACCTGTTGCCAATTGTGCCCACAATTAGTAATTCACGCAAAACGCACCCACCAACAGCGCGATCTGTGGGAGTGAACACATAATTTATCGCCCGCTATTTGGGATCTTAGTAAATCATGCCCTAAGTGTCGTTTTAACTTGTTGTACATCACAAATCTACATCAAACTCTGTAGATGCATATAAACTTATCTGTGTGACGTCCGATTGCTGCTGTCTCCTTTAGTTCAGTAGTATTTCATTATAATTTATAGTTTTCACACAGTTCGAGGCTTACTTTCTACTCTGTGTTTCTGTGATAGACACAAGTGTGCTGTTACCATATTGACCTGATAATCCACTGATTGCAATTTAATTAAAAAATTTGGTTTTCATTACGCTTTTTATACAGTCCGTACATCCAAAAAAAACCAAACCTTGAAACATTGTTTGGATTTATGTGCAGATACGTCTGGTTTACATTTGTATTGTAGTAAAGTTGTCACGGCCTCTTCAAGGACGTAAAGCTTCACGCTGCAGCTGAAAACAGCTAATCCACATGAAAGAAACTGCATGACCTTTAACCCCTGCTGTGTGCACGCAGGTCTTCACCACCTACTCTAACGAAGAATACGATCGAAGCAATAGTGACGTCGACCCCATGGCGGCCTCGGCCGAGTACGAGCTGGAGAAGCGAGTGGAGAAGCTGGAGCTGTTTCCTGTCGAGCTGGAAAAAGGTTTGAACGCATCTTTCTGGTCACTCAGTCAAGTCTCTTATGTAACTACACACCTTCACACACGCTCGGTTAAAATGGCAGCGTTTCGAGCGAGGACATACACTGTCTGTCTGCTTGCGACTCCATTATCCCCTTATGGGATTAGAGTTAGTGTGGATTAGCCTGATTAGCAGATAGTAATTCTGGAGGTAGTGGATTTCAAGCAGTAACCTTGCGTGCTGACTGCTCTCAGTGCAGCGTAGTAACTACAATTCTAACATGTATTTACATCGGAAATAAGTACAGTTATTGTATAAGTAAACCAATTATTTTAATTCCAAGGGTTTGTGTATCAGAATTGAAGATGGAATAATAAAATACAATCCCTTGCTCCTTTACCTGATCTTGAAATTATGCAACCTCAGATTGGCAACACCGGACTTAATCCACTGTGTGGACAAAAACTAAGACAAAATAGAGAAAGAGTGTGACATTAATAGTCTGATGCTGCTCAATAATCCAGGTAGAAAGATCTAACAAAGTTGTAAGGTCCTCTGGACAGATGCAAATAAAATAAAAACTTGTTGAAATGTTTCATCTTTTATCCAAAAGACTTCTTCAGTCAGAGGAGCTGCAACAAACTCAGTCTTATAAACAGCACCTCTCATTGTGGATCAACCAGTTTGTTGTTGACGTCCAGAACTACCTGTTCACATGATAAGAGGACCATCAGTCCAACAATTGATCATTAGTGCCCTGATGGCTGTTTACTATTCACAGCGGGCTGAGTGATACTAGCAATAACAGCATTGTAAGAGGGGGACAGTTGAACACGGAGGCTCCGCCCCTGTTTAATGATGGGCGTGTTCTCTTCACAAAGATGGCCTCCTTCACTCCTCTGTCAAACCATCATTCCTCTCTGTGAAGAACGTGTCGTGCACATCTTCGTCCCCGAACGAGTGACCACTGGCCTGGAGATGAGTGTGACATTATGAACATAGTTGCTTCCAAAGACATAATTTGTATTAGCTTGAAGTCCATGGTTCTAAAATAAAGAAATAAAAGCATAAAATAGATAACTATCAATCTTTATCCCAGCAAATTTAGAAAAATTGCAACCAAAAAAAAAATAAATAATAATACTCCCATGAATTTTAGCCTTTAATTAACCTTTTAGATATTAAAGTTTAGGATGACACTTAATTGTGGAAATTTGTTGAGTGATTTTGTCCTTTTTATAAAAAAAAAAAAAAAAATGAAAGTTGGACTCAGGTTTCAGACTTCGGGGGCAATGACCTTTGGACAGATGAGACCTGCACAGCTCTGTGTTTAAACCAAACTGAGTATTAGCACCAAGGGCTCATCCCAACTGCCAAACACGGCAGTGGAAGGTTGATGATTTGGGTACCTTACTGTTATTGGCTGTGATGGGATCATGAAACAGGATAATGATCCAAAACGCGCAGCTAATCTACAACAAAATGGCTGCCGTGGCTCAATATGTGCTAAAGTGGAGAGATATGATATGGGCGATCTTCTCGTTGTGGAATGAAACAATAAACAGATTTAGAGTAGTCCCTCGCTACTTCGCGGTTCGTTTTTCAAAGTAAGACCGGACATGACACACAATTGGCTGATTGATGGATGAGCCGCACAATAGGCATGTCATTTTATTTAAAATAAATTATTTAGCACCTCTTGCACCTTTGTGCAGCCCACAGCTGCAGGAAAAGCTTCCTCCTGCAGCTCTTGAGCGGAGAAGTGGGCGTGGCCGAGAACGCTGGAAGAAATCATGACAGGCTGTGCTCTTTAGTTTAGAAACATTGTTTAGAATGTGGGAAGGGTTTAAAACACCGATATATATATATATATATATATATATATATATATATATATTATTTTTTATTTTTTTTACTGTATTTTCCGCCATACATGTCGCAACACCCTATAAGTCGCATCAGTCCAAATATGTCTAGTAAAGTAGAAAAATAATAAATAAGTTGCTTTACCATATATGTCACATCTATTATGCGTCACCGCTGACACGTCACGTTTGTTATGTGTCACCGCTGACACGTCACGTTTGTTATGTGTCACCGCTGACATGTCACGTTTGTTATGTGTCACCGCTGACATGTCACGTTTGTTATGTGTCACCGCTGACA